GGAGCCCTGAGCTGCATGCAGGACCCTGGGGGCTGAGCTGTCTCTCGTGGATGGCGAATTGCTCTGCCCTGCTCTGCCCTGCCCGGCCCATGGGATAAGATGGTGCAGATGAGGCTCTCTGGCCAGCTAAGGGCTTTCCCTTCAGGGGCTCTGTGCAGAGGGGAATACGCAGCCTGCCCCTTGGGTCTCTTACTCCCCTTTGCCCCTGGAGCTGCATGCAGGACCCTGGGGGCTGAGCTGTCTCTCGTGGATGGCGAATTGCTCTGCCCTGCTCTGCCCTGCCCGGCCCATGGGATAAGATGGTGCAGATGAGGCTCTCTGGCCAGCTAAGGGCTTTCCCTTCAGGGGCTCTGTGCAGAGGGGAATACGCAGCCTGCCCCTTGGGTCTCTTACTCCCCTTTGCCCCTGCCACTGACCTGGGGCCGAGGCTTGGCCGGGTTTTTCCGCGAGGCAGCGGGCAGCCATCCAGCCTTCTGAGCTTGGCCCAGGAAGCACCCGGCTCCATCCTTGAGTCCTCCCTTCAGAGCAGCCCTGCCATTTCCTCCCTCCCCGGGGGCTGGACCTGGGGGGCTGTTCAGCCCCAGCCCACCCACAGGAAGGGCACCCCCAAGCCGCTCCCTCCAAACCCGCTGCCCCACCTGTTCTACGCTGGGCAGGCGCCTTGGGCCCAGGGCCTGGGTTCACTGGATTTGTTTCCATGGCGCCATCGGGGCCGACTCCTGAGGGAGCTCGCTCTGTCTCTTGGGAAAGATCCCCCCTCAGCATTTCCAATGGCCCCTTTACTGTACATGGGATCACCCCCGGGGGTGGGGGGGCGGCTTCCTCTCATTGGGGTTTGCTGTCGAACCCAGCGCCTGAGAGTCATGTTTGTACACGGCCAACGCCAGCCCCTCTGGGGCTGGGGACGAGGTGCCGGCTTCTCACCCGTCCTCTGTTCTCAGGGGTTTGTGTCGCCCATCAAGCGGCTCGTTTTCCCCAAGGCGGCTCGCAGGCCGGCGATCAGGAGCAGCGTCTACCGGCGGCCTCTGCATTCGGTCCCTCTCTACCCCCCCGACTACCTCATAGACCCCCAGATCCTGCTGCACGACTACATGGAGAAGGAGGTGAAGGTACACGGGGGCAGCCCAGCCGCTCAGGGGCCGTCCCCGACGCTCAGAGCGGGGCCCAGAGGCCTGCCAGGGGTCCCTGTTGCCATGTTCCAGGGTGGGGGCTCACCTCTGGCTGGGGCACGGGGTGCCTGGCCTGCCCCAGGTGTGTGGGAATTGCCCCCGGTGATGTGGAGTGAGGAGACAGGCCAAACTGGGCTGAGCCGTGTCTGCCACAAACACACCTGGCCCCTGGCTCTTCCCTCGGTCCCTGGCCTCTCCGGGGCTTGGCAAATGCCCAGTTCCCGGGTCACCGGGCCCGCGAACGCCCGGGGGAGGCTGCGCTGAGGGGAGCTATTTGAGCTGTGAAGTGACCAAAAGTTTCAGCTTCAGAGCCACGTGCCCGGCAGGGCCCTTTGGCAAGAGCAGGCTGGGCCCCAGGAGCTGGGAACCCTCCTGCAGCGGCCGCCCCCTCGTCTCATGGGCTCCCCTGGACACCCCCTCCCTCGGCCAGGATCAGCGCCCACCCCCTGTGCTTGTTTGAGGGGGAAGCACATGTTGCGGCCCAGGGCGGGACTGAGAGAGGAGACCCCTCCCCTTGTGTCCTGCAGGGGTATAGGAATGTGCCCCATACTGGGCAGTGCACCCCACACGGACCCGCAATGGGGGCTTGAGGGGCCCTGTACGCGCTCTAGCTGCCCCTGCGGGGTGAGCAGGCAGGAGACCCAGCTGGGGAAGGAGTTGGGGATGGGGGGCCTAAGGGGAGATATGATAGAGGTGTATAAAATCGTGATTGATGCGGAAGAAGTTAATAGGGAAAAATTATTTACTTGTTCCCATAATATAAGAACTAGAGGTCACCAAATGAAATGAATAGGTATCAGGTTTAAAACGAACAAAAGGAAGTTTTTCTTCACACGCGCACTGTCAACCTGTGGAACTCCTTGCCAGAGGATGTTGTGAAGACCAGGACTTGAACAGGGTTCAAAAAAGAACTAGATAAATTCATGGAGGTTCGGTCCATCGATGGTGATTAGCCAGGATGGGCAGGGATGGTGTCCCTCGCCTCTGTTTGCCAGACCCCTGAGGAAGGGGGAGACCCCAGATGGGGGGGCTGGGTTAGGCCCAGAAGGACAATGTGGGAGCCAGACTTGGCAAAGCGCAGGAGGGGGATCTGGCAGAAGCCAGGGGAGGAGGGGGGCGTACTGGGACAGCGACTCTGCCACCGGCGGCCATCACGGCCAG